CCAGGAACTCTGCCGACGTGAGGTCTTTGAGGTCCCTGAGCTGTGTGTCCTGGGTGGCACGGTAGCCGGCGAAGAAAACGCTTGTCCCCTCGAGATGCACCGTCAGCTCTGGCAGGCTGAAGGCTGTGCTGGTGTCCACACGGCCGCCCATGCACTGGCAGAACATGGGCCTCCACAGGTCGAGCAGCTCTTCATCCCCCGGAAGGCCAAGGCGGTCAGCGACTGCCACCGGCAGGCTCTTGCTGATGAAGCCGAAAACTTGCTTCGCAACTGCTTCTCGTCCGATCACCGCAGTGGTTACACCTCTGCCATCTGTCTTCATCTTCTCTCCTAACCACTGCTTCTGGGACTGGTAGTAAACCAGGTCGTGAACACTCTTGAGCAGGCCTGTGACTTGCTCGGCAGGGATCAGCACCGGGCCCTTGCCCGGCATCTGCTCCAGCAAATCCTCCTGCAGATTGAAGCACACCCCGTTGCTGCCTCGCTGAAACTTCGACCAGTTTGCCTTCGACAGCTCGTGCCGCATCCAGCAGACACAGTCCAGCATCTCCGGGCTGATTGCTGTGTCAGCTGATGCCCCGGCCTGCGAGGCGACGGCGGCAGATGTGGCAGGGGCGAGGGCCTTGTTCTTTGCCTTCTTCTTGGCCAGCTGGTCCTTCTTGGAAAAGGCCTTTTTGGCATCGTTGACCAAATTTCGGAAGGCCTTCATCCTTTCCTTCACCTGGGTTGGTGGGTGTGCAAAAAACAAACCTGAAATCCTAAACCCCTAAACCCTAAACCCCCTAAACCTTAAACCAGCTAAACCTCCAAATCAATCGCAGGCACCTCCTTCAGCGGTTGATAGTCCCCAAGACCCTTCTTGCACGCCTCCGTGGCCTCCTTCAGGTAGGTGAGCAGCTCGTCATCGTCCTCCGCCTTTGCCATCTGTTCCTCCTTGATTTTCCGCTTTGCCGCGAGCTCAGGGATTGAGGCAAGCAAAGTGTGCAAGTCCTTTTCGATTGCCTCCATTGTTGACTGGAACTCTTTCTTTGTCTCTTCGTCTTCATCTGCCATCATTGCCTGAGTCTCTTCTCTCAAAGCAATGTAGCTTTCCTGCTGCTTGCCGTGGGCGGAGGCAAGCATGGCTTCTTCCCTGGCATGAGCATTCTTGATCTGGAGGAAGAGCACTGCCCTAACCGGCTTTTTCTTTTCCTTCTGCTGTGCCTTCTCCTGGTCGCTACGCTGCTTTTCCAGCACCGTTTCCATCCACCTCTGGTCTCGCTCAGCCTCTTCCTGCTTGAGCTGATCGAGGTCTCGGGCGACATGCAGTCCCGGCACCGTGGCGTTTTCCATGCCTTGGTCGAGCATGGCCTTTTCGGTTGCCAGCCTTTCAGCGGCCTTTTTGAGCCGCTGTGCTGTCTGCTCTTGGCAGACCGCCAGCTCGCTCTGGTCTGTCACGTCCATTCGCTGGCGAAGAGTTCCTGCGACGCCGTGCTCCTGTGCGAGCTCGCCCAGCACACCACCGAACTCCTTCAGCATCCAACAGCCCCTCAACTGTTTCGACTCGGTGTCATCATCCTGACACCGTTTCAAGAACTTGGCCCGCCCTTCCTCGTAGTTCTTCACGAGGCCCAAGGTCATCTCTCGAGCGACCCAGTCTTTCTCAAGCCACCACCTATCCTGCTCGCTGTTTCTCATGGAAGTCCGCCGAGTGTCTTCGACAACTCCGACGGCGGTGGCAAATGTTCTCTTCTTCGAGACACTGCCGCCGCCGTCCTGGCGGTGGGACTTCTTTTCACTCTTGTACCATTCGTACTGCTCCTCCTTCGACATCTTCCCCAATTGCTTCTTCAAGTCCGCAGCAGTCTGGCACTTGTTCAGGAGATCCTCGTCGTGAGCATTGAGCTCACCATCTTTGGCTTTCTTCGCAGCCAAAGCCTTCGCCTGATGGGAGTTAAGATTAGGGGGACCCTTGGGGTACCCTTTAAGGGGGTCTCCCTAATAATACTACCTACCTGGTACTACCTGAGCGATCCTGAGCAATCTGCTTGTTCAAGACCCGCTCCGTGCCGCTGCACTCCTGGCAAATCCGGAGCAACTCGTTTCGTCCCGTTGCATGGGAAGTCGAAACAGTGGTGGGCTCGTTGCATTTGCGGCACAAGAGATCGCCGGCCCCATCCATGGCTGGTTTCGCTGACTTGCACAGAAGGGGTCAGGGCTAGAGGGGTCTCGGTCAGGTGCCGCTTGAACCAGCAGTTGCTTTTTCACCGGCAACTCAAGGAAGTGCACCATCATGAATCATGCCATCCGTCTGTATCGAAAACCTTTTGTGCAAAGTGCACTGATCAGCTAAACTGAGTAATTCAAACTGAGGCCTGCATTGCACGCACTGATCTAATTGACAAGATTAAGGCACCGAATTGACTACAGACTATGGATGAGCTCTCCGGCGGTGACAACTGTGCTTCTGCACTTTGCCATGAAAAGCTCAATGCTGACTATTCGAGATCTATGGCTATGCATCGGCATGACCGACGACCTGTCAACTTGCCAAAATGGCTACGACGGCTCGCCCTGGGACTACGACTATGGATGAGCTCTCCGGCGGCAGCTGTGGCTGGACTTTGGATAGGATGAGCTCTCCGGCAAGCAGGCAGCTGTGGCCCGTCTTGTGGGACTATGGATGAGCTCTCCGGCGGCAGCTGTGGCTGGACTATGGACGGGACTATGGATGAGCTCTCCGGCGGCAGCTGTGGCTGGACTATTAATGGGACTATGGATGAGCTCTCCGGCGACACTCCTGCATCAGCCCACGGCTTGCCTTCTTTGCTACTGATGGCTGTCTTTCCCCAGAGACGCCTTCGCTTTCCATCAGCCTCTTGTTTTGGATTCGCTGTGGTCTGGACATTTCGCTTGGCAGCTGTGGCTGTGGATGTGGGACTATGGATGAGCTCTCCGGTGGCAGCTCGAGCGGCAGCTGCTGCTGCTCTTCTCGGACTATGGATGAGCTCTCCGGTGGCAGCTGTGGCTTTACGCAGCACATTTCGCTTGGCAGCTGTGGGTCTGGATCTGGGACTACAGACTTTTTGCTTCCTGTGGACCCGACCCATGCTGCCTGTGGCTCTTAGGTCCTCATACGCCATGTCCCACAACTGCTCCATAGTGGCTGCTGGAGTCGGCCGGCCTTCTGAAGTCACCCCGGCTTGATCTGCCAGCAGAAGCATCGGAGCCACGAGACATGCCATCACCAACGTGTGCATGCCGTTGCCGGATGCTCTCTTTGCAGCTGCCCTACTGGCAAAAGCTGTTGCTGTCTCTGCCGGGTGGCCCATGAGCAAGAACCTCTCCGGGATGGAGAGCATTCGGTGCAGCTCTTGTCTGTCCCAGGACTGTTGCAGGTCGTCCAGGCTCAATAGAAAAAGAGCCGGGCCGCTAGTCCGGAGGCTGCTGGTCTTGTCAAACTCGACCCGAGGACCGTAAACATTCTTGGGGTCACGGTCCAGTTCTGCACAGGCCACCCGAAGGCGGCCTTGGTCTTCAGACTGGGATGCCATGTCCTTGTACCTCTGCAGGTTCCTTTGCATCCCAACCGACAGCATGCTCGGGTCGGTGGGCGGCAAGCCTTTCTGCAAAAGTGACTCCAGTGTAACGGGCTTTCCATGGCCAAGCTGGTTCACTTTCACCACTGGCAAAGGGCCATGGAACCCACGAGGCAAGCAGTCCAAACGAAGGCCCCTGATGAAAGTCCGCCGTCTCCGCATGGGCCCCCAATCAACAGAGTCTTCCACACGCACATCCAGGTAGAACCACGGCAAACAGCACTTAAGGTGGTCTATCACCTCATCACAGTATGGGTGCCCCCGGAAGGTATTGGAGTTCTCCAGCAGAAACCACA